CATGGACCTGTTGGAGCGAGTCCAGAGGAGGGCCACGAAGATGATCAGAGGGCTGGAGCCCCTCTCCTCTGAAGACAGGCTGAGAGAGTTGGGGTTGTTCAGCCTGGAGAAGAGAAGGCTCCAAGGAAACTTCAGAGCAGCCTTCCAGTACCTGAAGGGGGCCTACAAGAAAGCTGGAGAGGGACTTTTTACAAGGGCATGTAGTGATAGGACAAGGGGTAATGGCTTTAAACTGAAAGAAGGGAGATTTAGACTAGATACAAGGAAGAAATCCTTCACCATGAGGGTGGTGAGGCACTGGCACAGGTTGCCCAGAGAAGCTGTGGATGCCCCATCCCTGGAAGTGTTCAAGGCCAGGTTGGACGGGGCTTTGAGCCACCTGGTCTAGTGGAAGGTGTCCCTGCCCATGGCAGAGGGCTTGGAATTAGATGATCTTTAAGGTCCCTTCCAAGCCGAACCATTCTATGATTCTATGATTGTTCCATACCACATATTGCTAGTCAGTGTGAATCAACTTGGATTATTCTCCCTGTAGGAAAGCTACCCCGATGTGACACTGGCAACACTGATGTTACCAGGACAGTGAATTATCCAGACTGAATCACAGCATGTTCGCAATGGGACTGATGAAAATCAGTGTAGCAGAGGAATTAGAGGACTTCCATGATGAGTCCTCTAAGTTCTTAATTTCTTCTTCAGACTCTGTGTTTATTCAGCTTTCTTTTGGCAGATGGCTACTCTTCAGAGGACATCGTCTACCACTGGTCAGAAAACCAGGAGGAGATCCATGGGCTGGATAAGCTGCAGCTTGCTCAATTCACAATTACCAATTACCAGTTCACAACAGAAATGATGAACTTCAAATCTGGTAACAGGATCTGTCTTCAGTTCAGGGACAGTATCTGACTTTTTCCTGCATAGGGAAACCTCCTATATCTATAACAGAAAATCCTTCTTCTTAAGTAACTAATTTAAGAACCTGTCAGGTTTCTGGTAAGAGTTTTCTTTAGCTTACACTTGCAAAAAATGCCAACCTTTGCTGAGCCTTCAGGTAGCCACTGTAGCATGTTATGTCCTTTAGATCTGAATGTTTGACAAAATACGGCATGGAGTAGCCAGACAGCACTTGATAAAAAACACTTGAGGTATAGCTCACATTTTTTTGACCTAATTTGCAACTTCGGATAAAGAAAAATTTCCATTAGCCCTGATGTTATGAGGCTTATGACGAAGTCAGTGGTGTGTATGCATATCACTGGGTTTATTGCAATGTTTGTAAAAGATTGGAGTAATTTCTTTACTGCTTATTTATCCTCTTTCATGTATTCAGATTCTCATTTATGCTGCACATCTCCTCTAAGCTCTTTTTTGAGTTTGAAATTAACTTGGCCTTTTAAAAAATCTAAATTTAGTATCTGGAGGACTTTCTACAGCAGATGATAAGACAGTACACATTTTGAAGCAATACTGTTATTTGAGAAGATTCATGATTTTATTTTCAGATCTGGCATTGATATGACCTGAGACAAATCATTTGACCTATTCTTAGCTAACAGTGCTGATGAGAACTGCAGTACCTCGTCCAGGGTTTATGAAGACTAATTGAACAGCATTCAAAAAAGCTTTTTGTGATCCTTGTCCAAAAGATGTTTAAGAATGTAGATCTGTGTCATTATAGGAAATGTTATTTTGAATATCAGTTTAACTATAATTCACACAGTCAGATTCTTTCTTTGTCTGCTCTTTTTTCCAGCAGGTCAGTTTCCCAGGCTCAGTCTCCACTTCCACCTTCGGCGAAATCGAGGCGTTTACATTATTCAGTCTTATGTTCCTTCTATCTTACTAGTGGCCATGTCATGGGTATCTTTCTGGATCAGTCAGTCAGCTGTGCCTGCCAGAGTGTCATTAGGTAAAACAGATAGTTTGGGGAACTAACAGGGAAGGGTGGGCTGAAGTTGTAATTATGCTCTGTAATAATCCTCATTTTCCATGAAGGTGCATTTATGAATACTGTGTTTACATTTGCAGAAGAGAAGGTCCTTTAAAAGATTTCCATCATGTTTTAATTTCTGTCATGCTATCAGAGCAGCTGCCTCAGTAAAGAACAGAAAATAACCATCTAAAGATGGTTAAAAGCAATAGTGAATGTGAGGCAGATGTATGAAAGAACTGATCTGAAGGAACTGGGACAGTGACAAAAAAACATTCCTAGAGCTTGTGGATGTCTTTGCCCGAGTAAGGGTTGCAAGTCCAGATGCAAAAGGTTTGGAGGGTTAAGTCTTCTGGTTTTGTTTGTCCTGATCTAGAACAAAACCAAGGATAACATGTTCAAAGCTGCCTTAGTCATACAAATGCACATATTTTTACAAGTTCCCCTGTTTTGAAAATCAGAAGCCACACTATTAAGGGGCTTATGCCATGAAAATATTCCTCAGCTTCAGATCAGTAAATACGCTTGTTATAGTATATACTATGAAACCTAATTAAATTTTCTCACACTACACTGCAGGTATAACTACTGTTCTTACTATGACTACACTGATGGTCAGTGCCCGATCTTCGCTTCCACGAGCATCTGCCATCAAGGCACTTGATGTTTACTTCTGGATTTGCTATGTGTTTGTCTTTGCTGCACTGGTAGAATATGCATTTGCACATTTCAATGCTGACTACATGAAAAAACAAAAGAACAAGATAAAGGCGAGAAGGCAGAGTGGAGAGGTCAGTAAGTGTAATACTGTGAATAACTTTGCAAAAGCAATCACCCTGCATTATGACCTTTTTCTACTATGGAAGGAAATTCTTCTACTGCTTTTGAAAAAAAAATCCTGGTTAATTCTTTTGTCACATTAATATGACAAGCAACCGAATGCAACTGCTAATTTCCTCTTGCAGCATGGTTAGCACTAAAGACAACATATTCTTACATGGTTTGTTACTGTATTTAAGATAGGAAATGGAGAATAAGAGAGAATGAGTAAGAAGAGAGGCAAAGTATGTCTTGTGCCAGATTTGTACGTCTTGCACTTTGAGAATATATTTAGACCCTTTGATATTTGTCCAGTCAGTGTAAGTTATGGTAGCCTTGAGTTGCTCCTGTAGTGTCAGGGCAAAGTCATTATGACAGTATTACATGAGATGGGGAAGAAAGGCCTTTTCTCAGAAGGTATTCTTTAGTAGCTGCCTCTGCTAAGACTCTTTTAGTTCTGCTACAGCATAATAAAATGCTGTCAGCAAAACAAAAGCTAGACCTGTAGTGTTGAATGTTGTCCCCTGGAGATTACATTTTTTAGACCTAAACTGCATAAGGTAAATACAGATATAATTAGCATGGATATAAGTTATGTAGATACAAAGCCCAGTGAAACTGAACAAATGAGTCCATAGATGAAATTTCTTCCAGGAACTCCAGATGGCTTTGCTGCTTTCTTCATGTACATACATGCATGTTAGTGATGAAGCAGAGTGAATTGATTAAGGAACTTTTTTTTTTTTTTTTGACAATTCACAATTTGTAGTCCAGGCCTATGTATTTTTGAACTCTCTGGCACCTTGGGTATTATTTATAATTATTAGTACTTCATTTTATTAAGCTGTAGTAGATACAACAGATCCATATTCATTTTCTGTCCCACCTCCACCTTCTCTCAGCTTTGACAAGAGCCAGAGAACTGCCTATTGGCTTTGGCCACAGAATGGGATAGCTGTATCCTTACAGTCAATTATTTTCAGCCAGGAGGGCCTAAGCATGCTGTCTCAATGGTGCCTCGGTAATTCAGAGCATGTAAGATTATAACCAGAATTTAGACGTGGTAGTACAGTCTTTCAGCGGTCCTTTTGCCAAAGCAAGAGATAAATACCATTCAGCACTCATGGATCTCAGAGGTATTTCACCATGTCAGTATCATGGCTAGCTTGGATGAAGCTACCTCTGCCCTATAAATTGCTATTATAGGTTCTCCTCTTTCCTTTGCAGATAAACGTGAAGAATGCCATTGTTCTGTTTTCCCTTTCCATAGCTGGTGTGAACCAGGAACTGGCCATTTCCAACAGGCAGCATCGAATTCCCAGAAGCCTGCCTGGATCGTATGGCACAATAGAAATAGAAACTGGAGAGACAAAACGGCAGCAAGTAATGAAACTGGATAAAAAGAGAGGTCTGAAGTCCCTCTTTAAGCCCATTGATGCTGATACCATTGATATATATGCCAGAGCCGTGTTCCCAGCAGCCTTCGCAGCAGTCAATGTTATATACTGGGTTGCATACACAATGTAAAAAAAAAAAAAAAAAAAAAAAAAAAAATCCATTGGAAGAGCACCCAATTAAAAAA